AAAAAAAAAAAAAAAGAAAAAAAAACCTCGGTGTGGCGGGTTGGCCTTCCGAATCCGCCGTTCGGGGCGTCATGGAAAAAGAACGGGGCGGCCCTGGCCCCAATAAAAGGCGGAAGCCCAGAAACTTCCTCAGGACAATGCGTGCAAGGAGTCAAATGCTGATGTCGTTTCGGGGTTTTGGCGGATCATAGCCGCTGTTTGGTTGCAAAGGGGGCCCGCCGCTCAGCGACGCGCGGGCAACCAGCGCGTTTCAGAGGAGGTTTTGTCACGGTCTCTTCTGCCAAACCCCTTTTTCGAGGCCCATTGGAAATGTCGCTGGCGGTTTGCTTCCCGGGGCCTTCCCGTGACGAACCTCGGCGGCCCCGGGGCAGGCTTCGTTTGGGGTGTCGGCGTTCTTTCCGCCATCTTGCCGCCGGGGCCCCGGGGGGCGAGAAGGTCGGGCCGCCGCAAGTTTCCGCCAACCCCCCGCCCGGTTACGAAAAGAAAAAAAGGGGGCGGGTGGGAGGAAAACAGGGCGTTTTGGCGGGCGCCCCGGGGGTGAAAGGGGTCGGACTTTTTTTTTTTTTTTTTTGTCTTTTTTTCCCGCCGCCCGGTGGTTTTTTCTTTTTTTTTTTTTTTTTTTTGTCTTTTTTTCCCGCCGCCCGGTGGTTTTTTCTCTCCTTTTTTGCGCCCTGTCGCCTTCCTTGCGTTTCGCCCTTTTCAAGTAGAGCCATCTTTGCGGTGCCTGAATAAAAAAAAAAAATTAATAAGAACGCGCTTCCTTCTTCGGCCGAAACCGCCGGGTATAAAAAAGAAACAAACAAGACGCTTCCCCGCGCAGTGCGAAATGGCAATAACACAAGAAGTCGTTTATGAAATCATCAAAAGGGAAAAACATTACCCGTTAGGCTCCCTAATCTGCCAGAAGGCTCATCTGGTAGGGCTTGCGAAGTGGCAGATTCTTAGGCCCCTACTTCTCCAGACCCCTCCGCGTGGTCGGTGTTGGGGCTGGGTGGGGCGAGGGGGAGAAAAACAAAAACAAAACTTAAATCCCTTTCTGATGCTGAGACTGTGGTATTTTCCACTTATCGAGAAAACAACAAAATGGAAAAAGAGAATGAAGAACAATCCTGACCTTTAAATTGGGAGACCAAAAACAGTTGCATATTCCTTCCGCAATCTCCTGTAATAAAAAAAAAGGCGTGAAAAAAAAAAAAAAAGTTCGTCGGGAGGTGGTTTGCCGGCCCCCCGGCTGCTCCAGCAAATCACGCCCGCTGGTCGGCCTCTTGGGTCTCACCCATCCTTTCCGCCAACCAAAAATAAAAATAAAACGCACCCCAACCCATCCCCCCGCTAGCATTCCTCGTCCCTGCGTGCCTTCCTTACCGTTTTCTGCGCGCGATTTGTTCCCTAAACTTTCCCTGCTACTTATTATACTTGTAAAATCCTTCGCCGGTCTTGCGCCCGAGTTTCCCCTCGGCTACTTTTTCTTCAACGAGTTTTGAAGGGAAATATAAGGGATTCTGTGGCTCTTCCTTATGCCAAGCGTCGGTAATGTGTTTCAACACATCGATCCCAACGCTATCGGCTAGCGTAAATGGCCCCATCGGATGACCACACCCCAGTTTCATTGCCAGGTCAACGTCTTCAACGCTGGCGACGCCTCGTTCTACAAGTCGGCAAGCTTCCAGCTGGTACGGCACGAGAAGGCGATTGACAATAAACCCTTTTGTGTCCAAAGCCATAACAGGTTGTTTCCCAAGCTTTCTTGCGTACTCAAGTACTTTATCCACTGTTGCCTGTGAAGTTTTCTCAGTCTTGATTACTTCAACAAGTTTCATCATTGGCACTGGGGAGAAGAAGTGAAGCCCCGCAAAACGATCGGGCCTTCCTGTTACAGCAGCCTGATCCATCACACTTAGAGAGGATGTATTTGTACAGAAGATACACTCTTTTGGAGCCATACCATCAACCTTTTTCCACAATGACTTCTTCACATCAATTGACTCAGTAATTGCCTCAATTATAAGACTTCCGTTCGACGCCGCCAACCGTTCATCCGTGGTGAAGGTAATCTGTGAAATAGTTTCATCGACAAAAACCTTTATTTTGTTACGATCATCAGGAGATCGTTTCCTACCCAATCGCGTTAATGACGATTCAATAGATTTTCGAGAATCATCTAATCTCTCCTGTGAAACATCCACAATAGTTGCAGGAATACCAGCTTGAGCAGAAATCTGCGCAATCCCACTACCCATAGTTCCTCCTCCCCAAACCACAACAGATCTGAAAAGAACCACAGGCATACTCCGCAACATTATATCCCTGTAAATATTCTAGTACAAATAATGACACCAGCTACATCATTCAAAATAAAAATAAAAAGAATCAATAGAGAAAACGGGCAAAAAACCAGTCCGTCAAAAAATACAATAATACCACACAAAAACCTAAAAAACAAAAAGCACATAACCAAAAGCAAGAGCACAAAAAAAAAAAAGTAAACAACAAGCAAAAAAATTTCAACAAAATACTAAGACTGTTCCACATCCAACATACTGTCTATAAGACTTTTCCATCTCCCTTGCCTTTCCCACAATATTAAAATAATTGAACTCAACACAACACCAAAAACAAAAGCAAGAATGGAAACACAAATCGTCCCACCTACACTAAGCCCTGACCCGCTCTTTGCACCACCGCTGCTGTTGCCGTTGCCCTCACTGAGACCCATGCAGGACGCAGAACTGCACACACACTGCAGCGTCACCGGGTCCAGGGTGAAGTCAGCACCACAGGACCACGCCGGGCAAACCTTTCGGTAGGCCTGGCAATTGCTGTTGGGTGATTGCCCTGCAGAGGAAGGGCAGCCGAGAAGACTCTTGTACTCGTCGTCGAGGTAGCACAACCCAGCAGGGTCCTTCGGCTTTGAGGAGTCAACGAGGCGCTGGAAGTCGTAGTAGGGGCAGGTGTTGTTTGCCGCATTGTAGACAGCGCCGTCGCTGCTCATGCATTTGAGCTGGAAGTCATCCCAGGCAAAGGCGTAGTCACTCTCGGGCGTCTGTCCGGGGTAGCCGCGCCTCACCCGCATGCTGTACGCATTGGCGGAGTCATCGTACAGCAGCTCAAATGCGTACAACTGAGCAAAGGGAGGCAGCGCACCATTGGGTGTGGTGTCGCGAAGTGTTGCTGCCACCGGACTGAGTGTTGTGTCGTGTGCACTGTAGTGGTACAGTTTGTAGGTGGACTTCCCCTGCATGTGCAGCTGGGCATTCGACAATACTTGCTGCACAAAGTTCTGACCCTGGCTTCCCATTTTTACGTCCCTCTCGTTCGACGCATTGTACCCAAACTTTGAAAGGAACTCAAACTGCACAAAGGCGCGCAGCTTCTCCAGGTTCGCCTTAAGCAGCGGGAAGGTACTGATCCGTCCGTCCGCATCTAGTGCATTACCAATGTCAAACAGCTGAGATGCGCAGTCGCAGCGGTCCTCCGCGTTTGCACAGTAACCCTCACTGAGGGCCTCTTTGGCAACGTTCTGAAGGGTAGCAAAGTCGATGAGGGTGTCAACCATCGGGTTACACACGTTTCGCTTCCACTGCTTATCTAAACCTCCAAAGACATTGTTGTAGGGTATAACATCACTTATCAGAAGCCAATCAGTTCCACTATCCACCGTGTGAACGGCTGGGAAGAACGCGGACATGTTGGGGAACAGCCCACGTAGGAGACCCTCAGCACTCTGGAGGGTGCGCAGCACATCAGTGGAGCGGGTGTAGGAGACATCAAGGTCGTAGCTCTCCGACGGGAAGAATGGATTTGCAGGGTCGCTGTTGTAGTGCTCTCGCAGAAAACTCCCTGCATTGATCGTCATTTTCTGACCAGGCACGTTCAAATAGCCGCATGGAACATCACCGCATAGTTGACTGGCATTGTACGATACAATTGCTGACCGCGAGCCGTGGCGGTGCAGCACCTGCACGAGGCGTAGTGTTACGGCGGCGTCACCACCACCGAGATGTACCGCCACGAGCAGCAGCAGCACCAGAAACACTGCACCCACGTGGTGGGAACAGCGGTGCGTCCTTCCTCCTGTCCTCATTCCTGTGTTTCAACCTTCTCTCCAAATCACAAAGAAAAAAAATAGTAGTCTTCGCGTTACCTGCAACTTATTCTGCGCGAGACCACAGTGGGGGGAAAGAGAAAAGGAAGAAGGCATGCAAGCACAACAACACAACACAGCACACCCACAACAGCATGGGGGTGGGGGGGCTCTAACCCATGGCAGCACTCTCAGCTGAGCAGTGCCAGTTGAACTGCGGGGGAAGGGTAGAAGTCAACGTGCCACACGGGCTTTTATCTTTCTGCCATCACCACTCTCTTTGGCTCTCAGTCTATCAACTTACACTCTTTAAGGCCACCATATCATGTGGCCATTTCCCTTGGTTTTCTCGTATTCCCCTTTATACCATTACCACTGCATTTACCTTTGGTTTCCCAGTTCACTCGAAGGTCTTCACTCATCGACGGCCGGGTTGGGGTGCTTAGGGACACTGATGCATCGGCGTACATTTGCCGTGCTGCACCCCTGAACCCGGTTGATGGGAGCGACAAAAATTAAATAAAAAAAAGAATTCCTTTAAAAACAAAATAAAAGGACATGTGGTAGTGCACCACAGTCCCGCGACAATGGTGTGGGTAAAGAAAATATATTAACGTAAAAAAGAAAAAAAAGTAAAAAGAAAATAGTTACCGCCACGCAATGACGCTAAGGTGTCACTTCACTCTTGAATGGGTTCTTCCCACCGCGACACACCAGCAGCAACACCACACACGCAGCGAGTATCGCCCCGACAGCGAAGGTTGCAATAGCAATACCAGCTGTCGCACCTGCACTCACTCTTGACCCGGTCTTTGCATCACCGCTGTTGCCGTTGCTGTTGCCGTTGCCCTCACTGAGACCCATGCAGGACGCAGAACTGCACACACACTGCAGCGTCACCGGGTCCAGGGTGAAGTCAGCACCACAG